AAAAAAAAAAAAAAAAAAAAAAAAAAAAAAAAAAAAAAAAAAAAAAAAAAAAAAAAAAAAAAAAAAAAAAAAAAAAAAAAAAAAAAAAAAAAAAAAAAAAAAAAAAAAAAAAAAAAAAAAAAAAAAGGCATGTTTAATGTTTACCTGGAATGTTTCAGTTCACGTGAAATAAAGCGGCCAATTCACAAGCAAAAGTAGCTCTGATGAATCTCACAATTAAGCTACTTAGGCTAGAAGGCCTGTTTGCTGCTAAGAAAGCCCAGGAAAGGGAATACTGAAAAGCTCAGTATAAACCACAACTAACACACGAGAACACAGTGTAATGAACTATGTGGGCACTGCTCAAGTGGCTAGCAAAGATGCTGGGTAACCCTATCTTACACCCAACTTTCTCCAACCTTCAATTTTCTCTGGAACAACGCAGACATCGTCAGTAAAGGACTTCATCTGCTTGTTGTAGCTGCAGCCTGAAAGAGAAAGCAAAACCAGCGGTCACAGCCAGCCAGGATAGTACCAGAGGACAGTTCCATGCAGGGAAAAGATGATGGTCACTGCTTTTCTTACCCAGTGTGTCCTCTGTGTTTGAATGGCTTGGATAGCTCTCAGCGTTTAGGTACATGGAAGCACAGTCAGGAACATCTACAGAACAATTAAAAAAACTCATTTATTTAAAAAACACGGGTGGAAGAAAGCTCTTGCTCTCCAGAGGTGGGCAGGTGAGTGCAGCTGTCTAACCAACATCCTCTTAGGGCCCCTCCTAAAGGGTTAATGTCAGAAAGATAACTACAACTGCATCTTGTGTTTCCCTCACACTCCTGTGTACAGCCATGGCTTTCAGCAGATATTTTGCTGATGCCAAGGGAAGAGTACTCCAAGCTGACAGAGTGGGTCTTATTACAGTCATAAACTACTCTCACAAAAAAAAACCCTCACTCTTCTGGGTTTGCATTTTCTTCCCCTGTCTGCACAGAATTACCCAGTGAAAGTGTAATATCAGCCTCACCACAGTGGTGGTTTTTGTACCCTCACAGGAGCTTTTTATTTATGTATTTATTTCTGCTAAAGGAAACAATTTAAGATGTCCATTAAAATACCAGGAAACCAGAAGGGATCCAAGACAGTTTTTCTGTCCAAGGTCCAACGTATTTGATTCCTTCCTTTCTGCTGCCATTTACAGAATGCTTTCAGTATGATTTCCTCAAAGCTGACCTCGCTTCTTTTCTGCAACCTACCAGCTCACATCACACATCCCCCTGAAGACAAACACTCCCTATGAAACTGTAAACACCCTTTTCTCCACTTCTGATGGTGTGAGTGGGTTAATCTTTAAGCTAGTTTGAATGGATTTAACATCACCTTCTACCTCCTGTCTTACTAAAGCTTTCAACTATCTACCAGAAGGTCTTTCTCAGAACATGGCATGGAAGGTGCATGTCCCACCTTTACCTTGGATGCAGTGAACAGATGGAACTGTTCACCCAGGAGCTGCTCACTCCCACTGATGCCTGATTTATGCAGTCAGAAAGAGCTCATTCTGCCCACCTGAGTCATACATGTAGTCCACCTGCTCCTGCTTGACCACCACAGCTGCTGGGTACTGGTGGCTGCTGCCTGCCTGGCTTTCCTGCTCGTATCGTGGGTCGTGGCGCTCCTGTTTGAAGCCCTGAGGAGGGTACTGGAGGCAGGGCTTGGACATCTGGCACTGGTAGGCAATGGGGTCTTCCTGGGCCATGCCTTGGGAGGAGGGGAAAGAATGGCACATCTCCACAGGTGGCTGATAGGCAGAGCTAGAAGAAGGGAGAGGACATGAGACGGCTGCTTTCTTGGTTTCAGCCCTGGTGGAGGGACAGAAACTTCCTCAGCCTCTTGCTGGGGCTGTAAGAGCTCACTCACTGCTGGGGCAAGGAAGGGACCCCAGTGAAGGACGTTTCCAAGCCCATCATTCACAGAATCCAGCAGGGTTAAGGTTCAGGTTGTGGATTTCAAACCCTAGGCAGCAGCAGTGGATCCCAGCACTTCCATCTGGATGCTGCAGCCCCTTCCTCCCTGAATCCCCAAGGAGGGCAACCCTTCTTTGCCAGTGGCTGCCTCCTCCTGGCAGTGACTCACCCGTTTTCACTGAGGTATCCACAGCTGGGTGTGGAGTGGGGTGGCCCCACAGGGGTCGGGAAGCTCCTGTCCTGCCTAGGGAACTGTTGGAGTGGTGACTGTGTCAGGATTCCTGGGCTGGGAGACTTGATTCCAACTCGTCTGGGTTGATCGTAGGCACTGGAAGGGTCAAACAGATATTGGAGGGTTACAGCTCTCCTGGAAGGACTTGTGGCAGCACCTGGGAACAATTTATCAAAGGCAAACGTGCTGTCCCCTCCAGTGCAGCCACCTGGGCTGACAAACTCCCAGCACAGGAGATAGTAGTAGATACCAAGATTGCACTCAGCATGAAGACAGATGAGCAGCAGCACCACCAGGGAGAAGAAGCATTTTGTTTCAGAACAGCCTCTGTCTCTCCCCCTGTTCAGGTACCTTACCTGGTGTAAAGGCACTGCTCGCTGTGGGGCTGGAAGGGCTGCTCGTGGCTGCAGGACAGGGAAGCTTCCGAGGGGCTCTGCGGCTCCTTCTTGATCCGAGCAGGAGGACTGTGAAAAGCTACTGAGGGGAGGGAAAGGGAAGATCAGGTTGGCACTTTTCTCCTTTATGGAGAGCTGTGATTATCCACCAGTGAAAGGTGTCCTTGTTCAGGTGGCTCTGATAGAAACAAAATGCCAACGTGCACAGCTGCTCACTGGACTTCCCCGAGCGCTGCCCTTGATTTAGTGAAGTTTGTCATCAAGCCTTAAATACATCAGCCTTAAAAATGCAAATCTAATGACATGCTCTATGATGATCCACAGCACCTGGAAAAGGATTTAGAGTGGGTATTTCCTAAGCTGTTCAGGGCTGGGACAGACATTTTCTGTTGTGTCCCAAGGTGTAGCTTGCACGTTATTTTTTGAAAACATGAAGGCAAAGTTTTGATTTGCATCATGCAAAGTGGTCTTTCTTTGCCATGCCTGGGAAGAGGAAAGAGTCTTTCTGTGTGTGGGGCACCCACTTCCCTGTCTGTAGCAACCCTTTTCAATGCATGGATCAAACAGGTCATACAATCCATCTAAAAATGCTGATTGGTCAGCTGAGTCTCGGGGGGGGGGAAAATAAATTGCTCTCTCCATTGCACTGACCTCCATGGGAATTTCAAGAAGCTGGATGTGTTAGGAGCAGGCAGGGCTTTCCAGACCCTAATGGCTGGAACAGGCTATTACATTACAACTGACTCATGAATTCACTCAGAGTGAAACGTGGGACCATCCTCAGTTCCAGGTCAAAAAGAGGAAGAAATAAGATACATGACTCAGAGACCAAGCCCAGCTGTGCTGCAGGGCCAAGTCCAGGGAAAGAAGGTAGAAAAGAGCAACCAGTAAAAGTGTTTCATTTCAGTTTTCACGGGGGAAAACTGCCCTGGACAGAGAGGAGGGGTATCAGCACAGGAAAGGCACCAAAATTTGAGTTTACCCTTGTCCCCTGAGATGTGTGATCTTCCCCATGCTACTTACAGTTTTCTGAATGAAAGTCAGGCACAAACTGCTCATCACTGTCTGGAACCTGAGCTGTCAGGAGAGACAGAGAGAGAGAGGGAGGGAGGGAGAAAGGGAGGGGGCAAAGAATTAGTTTGGGCACTTTGTACAGTATAATTAACAGTATATCAGAAATAAGTCTGTGCAGGAAAGATCTGAGCTTTCTGCTGGTATAACTTTAGTGACTAAGGATAGTTTCCCTTTGGGATTAATGAACAGTGGTGTGTCCTGGGAGAACCTTAACCATAGCACATACTGTGTTAGAATATTTTATTACTTCTAACCATTACTTTTACATCCCTTTTAGTGCAGGGAAGGGAGAGCTTGCAGTAGATTGTTATTTGATAAAGTCTGTCTCTGCTGCTGAAAGAAATGCTGCTGCCAGTATATAACAGACAAACCTACAGTTTCTGTTATTGCAGGGATTACAACAGATTGCACTCCCTCAGCTCTAAAGCAAAGGTGATATAGTCAAAGAAGACATAAGGAATGGAAGCCCACTAATCTCAGTCACTTGAAGCCAACCTAGACAAGACAAGCCAAAAATAAACCTCAGGAAATAACAAACACTGCACTAACAGGCAGTGAATCAGAATGGAACCAGCCAAGCTCTTCACGCTGACCTGTGTGACAACAAACTGCAACTACAAACAATGAAAGGTGGGGAACAGGGGGAGAAAAAAAAAAAACACCCAGAAAATTCATTCTATGAATTATCTTTAAAAAATCAACGTGGAAATAGAAGAAACGACGGGGATCACAGTGTGTGAGCTGAGTTTGGGGCTTGCAGCCTGTGTCCCTGAGGCTCTGTGGCATTGCTGAGGATCTCATTAAGAGAATTACAGGCTGAAAGCAACAGGCCACAGAGGAGATGTGAGATGAAGGGCAAGGCTGAAATGAGAGCACACAGCCTCGCTGCTGGGCAGTGATGTTTGCAGGCAGCTCCAGACCTGTATTAGAAGGCTAAAGGGAAAGCTGCCAGAAGAATATTTCAATTTTTGTGTTCATTATCTACTCCTTATAGTTGCAATACAGAGAGAGGTTTTACAACATATTTCATATTTTTGCTTTTTCTTCTGCATTGTTCAGGAAGGCTCTCTTAAGTGATCTATTGCCTCCATCTCATGAACAAATGCTACACACGGAGACACGAACAAGATATTAATAAAAATATTGTCACCATTCAGGAAAATATTTTGACATACAGGTGAATACAGGAAAACCAAAGATAGTTTGCTTCAGAGAGTCGCTTTTCGTGTTAGAAGTCTGGAAATGGGAGTTGCCATGGGAGAAACCAGTTCTCCTATTTGTGGTCTGAAATCATAAGCTAGAATATTAAAGCACATACTGAATTTCTCAAGGATTTCCCTTGGACTCTGACTACATGCTATGAGGATATGTTCTGAATTTTCTAGAAAATGGATCAGCTACAGCACTGGAATTGAGTGAGTTCACCACTCTGTTTAAAACTAGTTTCATTTAGAATTAATGTGACTCCTTGGAATTCGAAGTTTTCCTTGAAGTTCAAAGGCACAACAATTTAGACACCAATCTGAAAGTTGTGTTAATTCCAGGAAGTTCCCCAAAAAAAATAAAAAAAAAAAAAAAAAAAAAAAAAAAGAAAAAGAAAAAAAGAAGCATTTTGTTCCCTAAATTAAAAGAATACTTTCTTGTTTAGGAAAATACCGACGTTCCGGCAAACAACAAAGATAAGTGACAAATTAGCATAAAATCGAACCAGTTGCAAGTAGCCTGAAACGAAAATTGTACCCAGGAAAGAGGGCCAGCAGCCAAGTTCCATTCATAAGCAAATGCCCAGCACAATGGTGTCATTCAGCGTCTTCATTTAC